CAGTTAACAAATCCTTTCACACATACATAAGAATCCTAGATCCAAATAAAACAAAACAAACAAACAAAAAAACCCTTAGATCTAGTAAGGAACACTGTCCAAACTTCCAAACTCCATAGTTTCCAAACTCTACTCCATAGAGAAATATTCCTCGTTTTTCTTTATACTCATGTGGAGATTAGGTATGTGCCCTGCACAAAATCTTTTATTTCTGGTGAACTCAGTCATTTTTATTTTTTGTCTATGCTCCTGAACAGGAGAACAGAGCTCTGCCTGCCAGTATTTTCACTCTGAAAAAAAAGCTTTAAAAATTTATTAAGCAAAGAGTGTGCTACTAGAAATGTTTTTGAGTATGTGAAGTTAAGCTGAGCCTGCTTCTGCTCTATAACGGTGATTAATCTCCAACTGTTTCATTTGCAAATCCACTGCCATCTCTCATCTCAGCCTTAGATGGGAATAAGAATATATTCTGAAAGACTCAAGATCTAACCTTTGTAGCTTTATATCCCTGTCACCCTTCAACCTAGACAGAAGCTCAGCTAATGCCTGGGGATTGTCTCAGAGCTCAACAGAGACCAGAATCCAGGTGGGAAGAGACCCTGACAGGGAACAGTTGGTGGGTCTGGATTTATTTTGAATTAGGAAAGTCATATGGTCCTATGAGAAAGAATGGCCAGAGATCACAAAATAAATCCTTTCTGGAGCTCAGGATGTAGCTCAGCGGTAGAGCACTTGCCTAGCATGCATCAGGCCCTGGGTTCAATTCCAGGACACCCACCCCTCCACGCTGGCCACTAAGTAAATGACATATAGGTGAATGAAGGTGAGCAGTCTCTCCCATTTATCAAATTCCTGGGAAGGAAATTCAATCACTTTTGTCTTCTCACAGTCTTCAGTATCATCTTCCAATGATGACCACTGGAAAAGTATTTCTTCTTTCTAACCTTTTGTTTTTTGAGACAGGGTCTCACTTTGTAGTTCAGGCTGGCCCTGAACTCACTATGTAGCCCAGGCCGGCCTTGAACTCTGGGCAATCCTCCTGCCCCTGCCTCCCTAGTGCTGGCATTACAGGTGTGTGCCACCACACCTGGCTTCCTTCTTTCTAACCTTGTGTACTTTGGTAACAATAAAGCCTGGTCTATGTATCTGTATGGCCAGGGATTTAGCTCAGTGGTTCCGGCACCTGCCTCGCAAGTGCAAGGTCCCGAGTTTGATCCCCGGTACCAAAGAAAAGGACAGTATTTGTGAACTGAAAAGTATCTTATGTGAATGAGCTGCTACCACTTCACACACGGTGAAGCAGAGGAGGCAGGTGACTTGCCAAAGGTCAATGGGAAAGCCAGGGCTCACACCAGGAACTTTTGGTTTAACTTTGGTAACACTTCTCTGGTTTGGGGCTAACGTGAGCTAACTCTGTGAAGAGGAAAACTGTTTCATGGAAACAAACTCCTGAGCCATCTGGCCATCTTAGAAACATTTGCCATGGGGAACTAGGCAAACAGATATAGATGGCCTAGCACAACTCATGCTTTCTGTGAAAATAATTCAGTACTAGAAAATAACCTCTGTACCAGAAAAAATTTGTTTAGGAACTTGGAGGGGGCTGGGGATTGAACTCAGGGTATACTAGGCAAGCACTCTACCCCAAAACTCTTCAGCCTAGAAACTCTTTAAAAAACATATATATGTATAACATATATATATACATATATAACATATATATATAAATATATGCTAAGTTGTCCATGTAGAAAACCTAAAAAAGACATTAAGAGCTACACATCAGCTACACATTAGCTCATCTTTCAGTAACAATTTATTAACACCAAAAGATAAACATTAGTTGCAAATACTGCATGCTTTATATGGCCCTAGGAGTCAATACCCAACAGGAGGAAAGGGGCAAAAGACTGCCAAATAGGTATTCCAAAGTCTTCTTGAAGTGACCCCAAAAGCATAGTCCTCCACGCTGTTGCTTGTCTTCTGGAAACTACATATCACCTGGGAAACCTTCTCTAGTTGACTTTATTTTGACTACATTTGAAATTAACACATGAATGTTGAAACAACCTGAAATGGAAGAGTTTACACTTGATGATGTGTTCACTCATCCTAACATCATTTGTCAAATATTTTGGAGCACTTATTCCCTACAAAGCACTAAGCTGGGCACACAGGATGATGATGATGATAATGATAATAAAAATAATAATGATAAGAGTAATAAAAAAGCAAACCAAATACAAGCCTTGGTTTCACAGAACTTAAGAGACTAGCGTTGCTTTTACAGTATGTCGTCTCTGGGGATCTTACTGTGTTGCTTAGGTCCCCAATTAGACTGTGTACTCTTCATGAGCCAGATCCATATATTTTAATTTTAAAACATTCTTATGTAGGGCCGGGGATTTACCTCAGTGGTTTCGCCACCTGCTGCGCAAGTGCCAGGACCCCAGTTCGATCCCTGGTACCAAAACAAAACCAAAACCAAAACCAAAAAACATTCTTATGTAGCCAGGTGTGGTGATGCCTGCATGTGATCCCAGCACTTGGGAAGCTGAGGCAGGAAGACTGCCGTTAGTTCCAGGTCAGCCTGAGCTACACTGTGAGTTCAAGGCCAGACTGAACTACATAGCAAGACGCTGTCTCAAAAAACAAACCAAAAATCAAAAACAGTCTTAAAGCATGTTACATGAGACTGTACACAGCAAACTGATAAGCTAAACAAGACTAGTTTCCCTCACTCCATAATCTGCAGTATTTCCCTCCAATCAGTCCCTCCAGGATAGCATAAAACCGTGAATTATTTAAAATTCTAGAGCAGTGGTGGTGAACCTATGGCACGGGCGCTGCAGTGGGCTGTCTGTTATCACTGAAAGCTCCAAAAGGTTCGCCAGCTCTGTTCTAGGGTGTCAAAAGGTCCAACAGAATGAGCCTGTAGCTAAGGGAGCACAGTACCACCCAGGACAGCTAGCTGGAGATGCCCAGAAAGGGGCCTAGGTCCCAGAACTGATCCTCTGAGCAGGGAACAGAATCAGGCAGGGGTGAAGGCAAGGAAAGCCCTGATCCTGCAAAGCTATATAATCCCACAGGAGACAACAGTGCTTTAACTATTGAAATTACAGGTATGAAGTACAGGGAATACCTTGACTGCTGAAGAGCACCCTATCTACTGCTAGAAGAGCAAAAAGGCACCTCCCACAATCTACAGGGCGAGTCTGAGAACCTAGTTAGACAGGATGGGGCAATGGAAAGGGCCAGGGACCCAGAATCCAAAGAAAACCACGTTTCACTCCAGACTCTGACATTACTCAGTCAAGATGGCACTGGATAAACCAGGAATCCTCTCTTGAGACTGTTTCCACTTCTACAAAATGAGAATAATGACTTCAGATTTGTCTACCTCACAGAAACATCATAAAGCTCAAATGAGACAGAGTCTGAGATCTGTATCTATGAAGACATCCAAATTCCCAAAGAAGCATCTCACGTCAACTCAGGAACCCTCAAGGCCGCCACCGCTGCCACCGCCTCCTCCTCCTCCTTTTCGTTTTCTCTAACACTTGGGCCTCTATCTCCTCACAATTCCTGGTCACACTGACAGACAAAAAGGGGAGAAGGGCAGCCACGTACACCATTTTGACTCTGTGCTTTGACATGCCTCAGTAACCCCTTTCCCAGGGTCAAGGGAAAGAGGAAGAGGTCCAATCCAGTCCTACATCCTTTGGTTGGCCGCCTCCTCTTCTCCACTGCCAAGTCGGTTCCCTATCTGGGGACTGCTGAACAAATCTAAATGGGACCCTGAAGCAATATGGAGATTAATGTTCGAGAGAGATTACATGCATGTTATGTCACATTCTGCAGTCAAAAGGAAATTATTCTTAGCATGGATAACGAAAGGTTAATCGGACAGCGAGAGAACAATTGCTCTCAGGCAAATATTCTTCCCTATCTCTCCAATATTTTTTCCAGGACTGGCCCTTTCATTTGCTTGCTCAGTCCTCCAACCACCCACGTATTTAGTTAGGCTATGTACACACCTACAAAACACACCTCCCTCAGAGTCTCAAGGAGGGAAGGGTGGAGAAGCAGGAGGAAGGGAAAAGGCAGGCACCTTACAAAGTTGTAACAATCTTTTAGAGGAAAGAACTGCGACCACACTGTAATGCCGCCGATGACACGGGAGGCTGGGCTGGCTCCCAGAGGGAGGGGCATCATGTGCTCTGACTGAGGGCCAGCGCCTCTGCCCATCAGGCAGGCCTAAGAGCCCCAAACAACTGCTCCCAGCTCTAGGCAGAGTGAAGGCCCATTCTGCAGAATCAAGCTTATTAACAACAGTTTGGAAGAATATGCCCAGGGCAACAGCCATTTGGCAGATCTAAACTCAAACTCTAAGCTTGGAGCATAGGAAATTCAAAGGCGACTGAAGCATATTAGTCAACGGCAAAAATACAGCCCTGTATGGGCGCAAAGGGCGTTTCTATCCCACCATTCAGGCCAAAAACATCCTCCTCATTCTAGAAAGGGGAGCTTCCCCATTACCAAGCCCCACCAACCAGCTTGGTGGAGGCCCACAGCCCTTCCAGGGCCCTTCCCCCAGCAGCTCCAATACCTAAAGCCCTTCCATTACCCACCCCTGCGAGCTCACATGACCAGGCTTGCTCCTGCCTCCCGGCCCTAGGCTGGCAAGTTGGGGATCCAAATTCAGCCTCTCGCCTGACAAGTCAAAAGCCACTGGAAGCATTTCTCCTTCCTTCCCCGCTCTGGCTTCGTAGCTTACTGCTTACGTTAAAAAGACACTGCACCAGGAGGTTTGTTTGAACATGGACACATACAGAGGCCACATAAACACATGCCAACAATCCTCAGTGATCAATGCTCCTACCTCACCAATTTCCACAGCCCACCCCGACTTTTTTTGTAACCCTTCATTAAAACGCAACACCCTCCTCCCAGCCCTTCCTTCAGTAAGTGGTGAAAAACCAAATTATTAGCACACCTACCTGTCTATACTCTGGGGTAACCTTACACTCATGGTTTCTCAGTGTCTTCACGGTTCCAGAATCTTGTGGCTTTGGTCTTGATTGGAATTGAATCCCTTGCAATTTTTAAGAAAGATGAGAGGAGGACCTCCTAACTTGCAGATTGAATCCTTTTTCTTCCAGCTCTCAGGACCCGGGCAACTGAAGCTCCATTCTACTTCTACCAATTAACATGGTCTCCTTCCTCAGCCCCCTTTCCCCTCCCCCTTCTTGAAAGAGGAAAAACTATGACCTCTTGGAAACCAAAATCCCAACCACAAATCTCTTCAAGGTTAGCACTATGCGCTAAAAAAATGAATCACAAAAAGAACGTGCCTTCAAAATATCAGTCTTAACTGTAAAACACAGATAAAAACCATCCTTTTAATCCAGTTTTCCCAGCTGTCCTTCTGTTGGCAATGGAGCCTCAAGCTCCAAACGGGGTGGGGTGGGGGAATAATTCTCTGGTCTTCAATGCTTAAAATGACAAGAGCAGGTAATATGTTCGAGAAAGCGAATCAGAAAAAAAAAATTGAATAAATCCGAAATGGCACTTGGAAAAAAATCTTCCAGCTGATCCGCACGGTAAAAAAAATAAATAAATAAAACCATACAATAGTATGTACACAACAGCACTCCTCCCAGGTTCAGTGCAACCTCGGGAAACAAAATCTGTGGATTTTTAAAAAAAAAAAGCTTTTACATTAAAGAGTTAAAGGTTTTGAAATTCTGAAATGAGCCATTCACACCAAAAAAAAAAAAAAAAAAAAAAAATCACAGAACACCTGAAATGCAGTGGTTTTTTTACCTTTAAAATGAGAGCATTCGCCAAAACCAGAGAGAAGCTCTGAAAATATTCCCTGCTTTTTCCTTCAAACTCGCAGGTTTCCCACACCTACCCCAGCCTGGTTCTGAGCCCCAGACCTCGTTCGGCCTTTCTCCGACAGCCAATTTCCTGAGTTAGTTCTGCCGTTTCTCTCCTCCACATCCAGGCTCCGAAAGCCTCCCTCGCCTCAGCCTCCATGAACCGGGGTCCGCTCCCCTCGCTGGGCGCCTGGCCCGCACGGCGGCGCCGCTGCTCTCGGTGGGGACGACGCGCGCGGCTCCGCCAAGCCTGGTGGCGCCGGCTCAGGTGGGCTTCTTCTCGCCGCTCCGGCCCGGCCGCCCGGCCCCGCGCCCTCGGCCTCCGCGGCCCGGACGCAGCGCGGCTGCTGGAGGCGGGTCCGCCGGCGTCGCGGCCGCGCTCCCGCTTCCGGGCCCCTTCCCCCCGTCGCTGGCTGGCGCTGGCGCAGGCTCGGCCGGCCGCCCCCTCCCCGCTGCTCCGCGCCCGCCGCCGTCCGCTCCCTCCCCGCTGGCGGGCGGGGCCGCGCTCCTCCCCGGCTCCGCCCTCGCTCCGCCTCCCGCCTCGGCCGCCCCGCCCCTCCGCCCTCCGCGGCCGAGCGGCCTAGCTGGTCCGGCGCGCGGGTCTCCCCGCGAGGCCCGACCTTTGTTCCCGACCTGCCCGGCCGCGCCGTCCCGGGTGCGTCCCGCGTGCCTGCCCCGCCTCTCTCCTCACATTTTCCGGTCGCCGTGGCCCCTTTTCGGAGTCGGGAGTGCGGAGGCGGTTTCCTCGCGTGTCTGTGGCTGGGGGCCGCCCCTCGCGCCCCCCGGGTTCGGCGCGCACCTACTCTGCGGCTCGGCCGCCGCGCCTGAGTTCGGCGAAAGCCTTTCCAGGGCAAGTCTGTCCGTGACCCTCTCGGAGAGTCGCAGTTTCTAAATCTCTCGAAGTAACGCGGCTTTAGCCAGGAGGTCCCAAGCGTTAGGATTAAAAATAAAGATAAAAGGGGAATGGGGGGCTGGGGGAGGTGGACCTTGTGTTTGCACCTAGGTGAAACCTTCCTCTGCAGGCGGCGGTGTTTGCTTAGGGTCTCCCGCACCACCTGGATTGCCCGGAGAGCGATGTATGAGCTTGCAAATTTACACACAGACACACACACACAGGTAAGTTCTGAGTGGCCTTGCCTGTGTTGGGTGTGCTACGTGTGCAAGTAGCATTTATTCAGCGTATACTAGAAACAGGAGCTGCCCCTCAGTTGAATCAGGTACAGGTTGGCAAATAGACTTCCCTTCGACGGGGATCTTAAATTCTCCCGCAGGCCGGTGGAGTGCAGGCTTGGGCCCCAGAGCCGGCCCACGGTGGAAAATAAGTGGAGCCTAGTGGAAGATCTCCAGAGAGTTGGGAACACGCCGGCCTTCAGAGGGACTGTGGGACCCGGGCCTTTCCTCTCTGCTCCCTGGTGACGGGAGAGTGGTCTGCTCTGCCATGGGCTCCCACCACGATGCTCTTCCTTGCCACAGACGCAAAGCAATGAGGACTGAAACCTCCAAAACTAAGCCAAAAAATTTTTTCATCACCTTTTTTTTTTTTTTTTGCTATACCGGAAATTGAACTTAGGATCTTCCTGCTGAGCTACACCCCCAACCAGATCTTTTTATTTTATTTTTTATTTTGAAACAGTCTTGCTGAATCGCTAAATTGGCCAGACTGGGCTTAAATTTTGGATCCTCCTGCCTCAGCCTCCTGGAATGCTGGGATTGCAAGTATTCATCACCACACTCAGCTAAAAGTCACTTTTAAGTGAAAGTTAATGGCTGTCTTAACTACAAAAGATACTTGTCAAAGATTGGTAGATTCAAACAGAAGTACAATACTTCCTTGATTGCAGTCCTTAAATCATGATACTCATTTTCCATCCCATTTACCAATGATGCAAAGGCTTTTAATGGACATTCAACAAACAAATTAACAAATTAACCCAAATTTACATCTGAAGCCGACTGGTCCTTTTTGAATGATTGGAAGGTGTAACAAAAGTTAAAACCCACCAAGGAGTTTCATTTAGACTGTAAAAACAGGTTTTAAAATGCTGCTTCCTAGCTTTTCAAGTGTGCAGACAAAAGTTTTTATAGTGGGTAATTTTTTTAAAAAATCGCAATGCTAGAACCATTTTCAACAATCCAGTTTCAAAATGGGTTCTCTTGTTTCTTTTGTTTTTTGTTTTTTGTTTTTTTGGTACTGGGGATCGAACTCAGGTCTTTGCGCTTGATTTCTCTTGTTTCTTTAGAAAAGCAGTAACTCTCACTCATAGACTTGAAGGCACAGATGTAGTGGGCTCTTTGGTTATGGTTTGTTTTTGGTTTTGGAAATAAGTGCTAGGTAGCAGATCTTGACAGTTATTTCTTGTAGAACATTGGGAAATAAAAATGGCCATTTCCTATGTGTTCAATACAGCGTCTCATTTTAGGCCTTTTCCAGGAGACTGCTAAATGACAGGGCAAAGATTTCATACTCATTCTTTCTGTGACTGCAAAGAATTACAAATTTGTAGCAATGAACAGATTTGTATTTGTGCAGTGGGTGGCATAACTATGAAGAAAATGAATGGCAACTGTGATGTTACCTTTGTTTCCTAGAAACTCCTCACATACTACATGTGACAGGTGACTTCTGACACAGTGTCCGAGTGACCATGCCAGGTCATTCATATGAGGAAAGCTTAGGTAATTATTTTGCTGTGGTTAAATACTATTCAGAGTGCCAGCGCTCACCTGTTTCACTCATGCTCAGCAATGTTGCACACTCCACCCTGAAGACCGCAGGGGTAGCTTTCCCAGGAGGAGTCAGTGGCCCACTTAAGTGAGAGGAAAAGAGATTGTGCACAAGATAGACTATGTATTAGTGTAGTAGTTGTTGATGAACAGGAAGAGGGCCGGGGATTTAGCTCAGTGGTTTTGCCGCCTGCTGCACAAGCGCAAGGACCCGAGTTCAATCCCTGGTACCAAAAAAAAAGAAAAGAAACAGCACTAAACTAAGAGTCCAAAGAACTAAGCTTGTTCTAGACTGTTTTTCTTACTAGTTTTGGACCTGCTGTTTGCAGGTTGTGAGTACTTAATAAGAGCAGGCCTGGGCTCTGTCAACTACAGTAGGCAGGAAAATCACAATTAAGGTTAGGAAGCGATACCTTGAATCAACATGGTCCTTGTAACTATCTCTGCAGGACTCTGCAGATGAATCCTTTCCCTCCGCCTACATCCTGTGTGGTAGGTGAGCACCAGCCCTTCCGGTCACTACAGTTAAGGAGACTGGCCCAAGAAGGTTTGGGGAGATTTGCCTAAAATCCCATGAACTGACAGACTGAGGCTAGGCTTCATACCTGATCATCTTTAAGCAATGAGAAGCAGAGGAAAAGGCAGGTCTGGTTGGCTTTCATTTTCTGGGAGGGATTCTAGAAACTCAGTATTTGACTAAATAGCCAGATTGATGCAGAACCGTGAGGGGGTTCACAGTTTAACTTCTACAGAAGCAACTTTTCTTTTTCTTTTTTTTTTTTAGTAGTGGGGATCGAACTTGGGTCCTTGTGCTTGAGCAGCAGCAGCAGCACCAGAAAAAAGAAGAAGAAGAGGAGGAGGAGGAGGAGGAGCAAGAAGAAGAAGGAGGAGAAGAAGAAGAAGAGGAAGAAGAAAGAAGAGGAGGAGGAAGCAGAAGAAGCAACTTTTCAATTGTGGGCAGAAATCCCAAGACCAAACTGGTTGTTTCTTCTAGAAAGATGACTCTTTAAGTTATTATCATTCTCCTTCCAGGGTGCTGTTCAGGGACAGGCCTGGCAAAATAAAACTGCTACTGGAGAGATTGTGCCTCTGTTTACTAGGGGTCATTTTGGTTTGGTGGGGGTTTTTTGGCACTGGAGATGGGACTTGGGACCCTGTGCTCGCGAGGCAGGCAGCGGAACCACTGAGCTAAATCCCTGGCCCTGGTTGTTTTGTTTTTGAAACAGAGTCTGGCTGAGTTATCCAGGCTAGCTTGGAGCTCTCTACACTCCTTTCTCAGCCTCCTGAGTAGCTGGGGTTACTGGCACATAACACTATACCTGGCTTTACTGGAGATCTTTTACTCTTTAAGCCTTCATCAATTTCAAAGATGATGTGGCAGACTTAAAGTATTTATTCCTCAGGTAAAACATTTTTATTGCTTTATTTTTTAGCTGAATTAGATTTTTCCAGAATACTTCTGGGTAGCAGGATAACCAATGCTAAAATCTCTGATACAGATTTCATTTCATTGTCACTCAGAATATTTTCATTCAACCTGTTGGGAATTCCCAATAAAATTTAAATGATAATACCCTGAACATATATAGTGCTACGAAAATACTTCTGTAGGCAAACTACGAGTAATCACCACTTGATCCCACCGCAACTTGTTGAAGTAGGTACTGTTGTTATCCCCATTTCCACGTTGTTGAAACAGAGGCACAGAGAGGTAAAGTGAGTTGTCCCAGTCACGGAGCCTGCGCCTGTGCTGACCACCAGCTGTCCCACTTCTGTTACAGGTCCAGGCACTGGAGGAATGAGAGAGCCAGAGAACAGTGCATGGGCAGATTCTCAGACAGACAGAGGAGCTGCCAGGCTGACCGAGGAGACTGGGGTGGATGGAATTAGGAGCAGTCCAGCGGCTCAGCATCGCAGCCCCTCCTCCTGAGTTCTTTTTCCCATGGTGCTGTGACCAGCACATTGTCTGTGCTGCTCTCAGTTCTTGACTCCTCTCTGTGTCCCTCAGTCATTTCCCCCAGAGAGGCCTCCCCTCCTCCCTCCTGAAGATCTCAAGGGCTTCTCACCTAACCCCTGCTGAGGAGAGGTGCGCATCGAGGCCAGGTGTAGCTTCAGCCTCACCTTCCTGTCTGTAGTTACCTTAGAAACCAGCTCTCCACTGACATACCCCCGGTGGCTGAGACGCACTGAATAGCAGTGGAGGTGCCAAGATAAATTGTGAGGAAAACGTGTGAAACAAAACCTGTTTTAGATGGAAGACTGATATTTTGGGAAGTTGGGTGTGTTTGTGTGTTTTTCTCCCTCCCAATAAGAAAAAGTTCCCAAGGTCAAATGTGAGAAGCAAAAAAGGTGAGATGCTATGTTAGTTGCTTTCCTATCTCTGGGACCAAATACTTGACACCCAAAACTTCAAGAAGGAGAGGTTTATTTTGGTTTGTGGTTTTCTCAGGATTCAGTCCTCGATTTTTTGGCTCAGCCCAGGGTTCACCAACTCCCAGGCAGAGGCTCCACGGTAGGAGGGACTGGGCGGAGGAGTGGCTCTCACCCTCACAGGGAGCGGAGAGCAGAGACAGTCTTCAAGGTCCCCTGGGCCAGGCCCCACCTCCAAACGACTTCCGGGCAACATTTTAGATCTGAACCCTAACAGACACCAGTAGGAAAATTTAAAAAACAAAAACTGCCCTAAACCTGCCTTGAAAATTGAAAAATGTCCTTAAATTGTTTTTTTAAATTTACAGACATTGGGCCGGGGATTTAGCTCAGTGGTTTCACCGCCTGCTGTGCAAGTGCAAGGACCAGAGTTCGATCCCCGATACAAAGAAAAAAAAAAAACAAATTTACAGACATACAATAAACTACACATATTTAAAATGTGCAATTTGATAAGTTTGAAACTTATGCCTGCATGAAACTGTCAGGAGAATGATGTATTTATTATCTTGCACAGTTTACTTTTGCTGCTTTCTAATTCTTCTCTTCTGGCCCTTCCCTCTGGAGACTCATTCCCCACTTCTGGTCCCCAGGTAATAACTGATCTGTTTTGTTGTTGCTGCTGTGGATTAGTTTGCATCTTCTAGAATTTTATATAAATCATATAATATGTACTTTTTTGGTATGACTTTTTTTTTTGGTACCAGGGATTGAACTCGGGACCTTGCACTTGCGAGGCAGGCACCAAAACCACCTAGCTAAATCCCCGGCCCGGTATGACTTTTTTACTCAACATAATTATTTTTAGATTCATCTATATCATTGAATATAGAGTATTTATTGCTGACTAGTATTTTAAAATTTCTAATTTCTGATTACTGTTAGAACATAGAACTATAATTATTTTTTATATTGATCTTGAATCTTGCAATCATGTAACCCACTTTTTAGTTCTAGGGAGTATTTTATAATAGATTCCTTCAACTTTTCTATATAAATTGATCATGTTCAAGCTGGGTGTGGGCATGCACATACGTAATTCCAGGATTTGGGAGGCCGAGGCAGGAGGATCGCTGAGAGTTGGAGGCCAGGCTGGGCTACATAGTGAGTTCAAAGCCAGCCTGGACTGTATAGCAAGATCCTGTCTCAAAAAAAAACCACAAAAGAACAAACAAACAAAATTCGAATACATCAATCATTTTGTATGAAAATAAAGGAAATATTTTATCCCTTTCATTTTAGTCTGCATTGTTTCATTTTTTTTCTCGTGTTATTTCACCAGCTTGAACCTCCAGTGCAAAGCTGATAGAACAGAAAAGCAGATATGCCTGCCTTCTTTCTTTTTTTTTTGTACCAGGGATCAAACTCAGGACCTTGGGTTTGCGAGGCAGGCACAGTGCCCCTGAGCTAAATCTTGGCCCTTGGCCCACCTGTTTTATTTCTAATCTTAAGGGAAAAGCATTTTTTTCATCATTAAATGTGATGTATTTTATAGGTTTTTCACAGAGGCCTTCTTTCAGGTCATGGATGTGCCTTTCTATTCCTAGTTTACCTGGAGATTTTATCGCAAATACATACTCTATCAGATTCTTTTTCTATATCAGCTGACATGATCATATGGCCTTCCTTCTCCAGTCTATTGATGTGGTCGGTGAATTTTTAGTGTTGAACCAAACTTTATTTCTAGGGTAAACTCTACCTGTCATGATGTACTTACCTTATTATATATCATTTTGCTAAACTTTTGTTAAGCACTTTTATATCTATGGACAGAAGGGGTGTCACTCTGGAAGCTTTTGCTTTCTTGTGATGTCTGCCTGGTGTTTGGATAATGCTGGCCTCATACAGCAGGTTGTGAGGATCCTCGATTTCCAATTTTCTGGAATATTTGTGTGAAATTGGCATTATTTCTTAATATTCCAGTGAAGCCATTTGGACGGGGAGTTTTCTTTGTGGAAAAGTTTTAACTACAAGTTAATTCATTAATACATGTATATCTATTTGGATTATCTGTTTTTTCTTTGGTACCAGGGATCGAACTCTGGTCCTTGTGCTTGTGAGGCAGGCAGCAGAACCACTGAGCTAAATCCCCAGCTATCTGTTTTTTCTTGAATGAGCTCTCATAGATTCAGTCTTGCAAAGAATTTGTCTATTTCATCTAAGTTATTGAACATACTAGCATAAAGTTGTTTATAATATTCCTCTATTATTCTTTTAATATGTATAAACCTGATATTTCCTCTTTTATTCCTGATGTTGTGTTTGTAATTTTTTCTCCCACTCTAACTACAGATATATATATACTGGGGATCGAACTTGGGACCTTATGCTTGTGAGGCAGGTGGCAGAACCACTGAGCTACATCCCCAGCCCCAGAGCCGTGGGTTTTTGAGATGCCCTCCCTGCACCCAAGGCCCTTGTTGTCTCCCCAGACTGGTCACTGTCCTTGCATCTGTTGGTAGGTGGGGAGTGTGTTTAGCCTTCTGGTCTCTGCTGGATGTAGGCCGCAAAGCAGAGGTTCAAGTAGACTGTTGGCCTAATGTCTTCCTCTCCAGGAATTGTCTTTGTCCGGAATCCATCAGTTGGTTACTCCTCACCCCTCTGCTCTGTGCTATGAAGAGCAAAATAGAGAGCTGCCTTGGAGTTGGTGGGGGGTGCTGTGCAGGGAGCACTGCCTGGACAGTGTGGGCTTGCTTGTGTCTGGGGGGCGGGGTCTGCCTGTCTAGCCCAGGTCTGCTTGTGTGCATCTCTGGGCTCATTATTAACACACCCAACCTCTACAACCCCCAGTAAGTTGTAATGAGCACAGCTAGCCCTCCCAAAGATTCCCTGATTTTGGTTGGCCCTGCCATTTTTCGTAGAGGTGTGACAGCTCCCAATCAAACAGCTGGTTTTGCTCTGTCCTCTCATTGACTCACCACCCTGACAGCTAGAGGTGTCCTGCAGCCTTGCACCATTTGAACCACTCACAGACCTGCATTTGGGCCAATCAGCAGGCCCAAATTTAAACCAATCACAGAATTGCACTAGGAGCAATGACAGGCTTGCAGCTGCTCTAAGTAGCACTCCCTTCACACTTCTCCCTAAGTTAGTCTTAGAGGGCTCCCGCTGCTGTGCTGACCTCCCTGTGCTGCCATACAGGTCCTGTTAAAATAAAGACTCACTCCAAAGGTCCTGTAAATCTGCCCATGATTTCTCAGGTAGTATGAGCTCAGAATGTCCTATAAATCTACCCAGGATTATTGTCCTAAGTAATGTAGAGAGAGCAGTCACTTTAGCAATGAACCCTAGGGGCTGTTATCCCAGAAGAGTTCCAGAGACCAGCAGCCAGTGAAGATCAGCAACAGAGAGCAGCAGAGTGGACCCACGGGGTCTGGCATGAACTGACATTGAGCAGCGGCGGCTGGCAGCCCCCAACCAGCACCCAGCAGGGTCTCCTGATGGTGGCAGCTGGCGGAAGCAGAGACTGGAAGCCGGCTGCGTGACCAAAGGCAAAGCAGCATTACCTGTGTTGTCCAGCGACATCAGGGCCACTAGCAGAGCTGGACTTTGCCAGTTCATGATTTTTCTCTGAATTAAGCAAAAGAACCTTGAACTGATTGGCAACAGTAGTCAGCAGTCGCCGGCTGCAAGGCAGAGGGGCTCAGCAGA